TTACACTTAAAATAAGAAAAACACAATTGCATTGTCTTATTTCAAGTGCACATTATCTAGTTTTCCTATTTTAAGAGTAAAAATAAAAATTCCATTGGCAAACTACCTAATTTACCTACTCAAATTAAGGGTAAATACACTTAATTTAAGAAATTTTTTACTTATTTCTAGATTGTTTTTCCATCAATCCAGAAAAAAATATGGATATGCTGCAATTTAAATATAGCATAGCATATTTTTTTCTTGGAGATATATTTTATTGCATGTTTCACTAGTAAAGAAGATCACAACATTTAAACTACGTTTTCTCAAGCTGTTTGCATTTTAATACTAACTCGTATAACTTATAGGCTGTTGCCCTTTTTAGCTGAAAAAGCTTAGCATGTTTAACAACAAATTTTTCGGTGGCATCTCTAATTTTTTTAACTAATCAGTCTCCTACTGTATTACTTAAACATCTAAGTAGCTCCCGTTAACATCCACCTCATTTAGGGAAATTCTCGCCCATTTTGCCTACCCAAATGGAAAAGCAAATAACTTAGGAATGACTCGGGTCGCAAAGTGACCCGAGTCATTCCTAAGTTATTTTCGTTTCCATCATCATCATCATCATCATCATCATCATCATCATCATCATAATGAGCTGGGAGGTTTTAAACCTTGCGATTTCGTGGTACAGTTTGAGCTGCGTGCAACGATTGGAAATATCGCACAGTGTATGCCCGGCTTAATATTTTAATAAGGCTGGAGCCATGGATGTCTCCTCATCTGTATTTGTGTATGATGTAATGATGTGATGATGTTGCATGTATGAAGAATAAAATCAACAACATAATTTGTCCTAAAAGCCTCTTTCCCACTGAAAATATTTGGCTAACGTTTGTTTTTTAAACATGGATCGACCCGCTAACAATCGTCATTTAGCTCCCTTCCCGCTGGCATAAAAAGCTGGTCTAACCCCACGCTTGCAGCTGCATGTCTGGTGACACCATCACACTGGTATAGCGTTGATGATGTCATCAGTGCGACAGAAATCAGGGTAGTAAACAATGGAGAGCAGCATGTAAGGAATCCAGGGCGTAGTCAGTGTGCTTTATTACTTCGCTCTATCATCTGTCTGAACTCCTTTCACCAGAGCTGCTCCGTTTTTATCGAATGTAAACAGAGTTGTTTCTGCTTGTTAGATCAAAGGCAACTAGCACGGTGTGTAGCGTTCAATATCACGTAATTTAGCGGGTCAACCCGACTCGTGTTCCTACAGCATGCCGATCAGAGCCGAGGCGTTTTTAACGTGGCTCGCTTGCCGAGTCATTTGGTCCAAGTAGACACGCGTCACTGAACTGTTCCCACTGCCACTAAAAGCCCATTGTTCCCGAGTTTAAACAGTTTTTTTTCAGTTAGTTGCAAAGGGGTAGCCTCGTGAGACCATCCTGATCTCGCGAGCTTTCAAGATTTCACTCGCTAATCAGTCTGGAGACTCTCCGTTAAAGAAAATTTTGAGCCGTTCACCAAACGAACGTCCAATCAGCGTTGGCTTTGAGGCGGGTTGAGGCGTGACGCAACGAGAAGCGTGACAGTTCAGTCTAAAGAACATGGCGGCTTCAGCCGATGAAACTAGCGTTAGCGTGGCTATCGAGCAAGTTTTATCGGAATTACAGAGTATTTCTTCACTGAAAGAAGAGCAAAACACTGCTCTGGAGGCTTTTCTCAGAGGAAAAGATGTTTTTGCTCTTCTCCCGACTGGTTTCGGCAAGATTTGCCTAGCTTGTGGTTGTGTTTTCGTCGTCGCTCTGTTAGTGCGTCATATACTTCGTTGATCTGATTGGTTTATTTGGCCCGTCTATCACCAACATAGGACAATCAGCTAACCAGTATTTTCGCCCCTTCCCAAAATTACTTCTACGGAAGGTTTCCAGATGGATATGCGGAGCAAATCCATCTGGCAGAGTCAGGTTAGGAAAGGGGTATAAGGGTCCTTAATACATTGTGATACTGCAGGATATGATTACCATACAATAAGGATCCCATATTCTATACAGCTGTTTTAATGGCTGAATGAGTCCCTTCACATTTGACTTAACTGATTAAGATCACTCTGAAAGATCCCTGGAAAAACTGCTTCCTATGAAGGAAGATTATTCTAGTTAGGTCAACTTTTTCCATATGATGCATACAAGTAAACTCATGTTTCGCAAAACAGCAAGTGATATATCCAGGTCATATCACACTGGATTCAACTCCCTAGACATGAATTAGGTATATCATTGTGGTGTTGCAGCTATAAAAAGAAGCTTGATATCATACGGTGGAGCATATTCGCTTCTCCAAGAACCAAAATGACCACATCCAGATTTAATGTTCATAAATATGTCATGCTTCGTTCCTGGTCTGCAGGGAGATTGACTCATGCTTGGAAGTCTCCTCACATAAATTTCTCACAACTCATCCAGCCCAGACATCAGCATATGAAAATGAAGCTCACTCCCTGAACACAAATAGCTGCATCCTGAAACAGTTCTGTAATGGCCTGCAATTTCAAAATGCACGCTCAGCTTTTGCCCTATGCATAAATTTACGTCCAAAACTACTTGGTGTGATATTCATGAAGGGATTTTAAATTTCAAGAAAAATATGCTCTGTGAATAGGTCCTCTCTGCTTTTTATAATGTCCTGCGGAAGAGTAAACACCTGCAGTCAGGGTCTGTAATCTCAAGTCCTTGTATCACCATGGCGATTTAGACCAGCTTATGCCTGACGCACAAAAAATCTGGCAAAAATGCTGGCATACGTTTGATAAGTTATGGGTACGTTTTGCATAAGTTATGAGCACGCTGAAACACGCTGGCACATGTCGACATATGTACGTCACCTATGACCTCGGCCTATGCCAGCGTTTGCTCCTATGTCGGCCATAAGTTCCAGGTCAGTTATCTGATCGTTGACATACATAAAGTGTAAGTTACTCATAATTCGTGGCGTCTAGCTTATCCTAAACCTCTGAGTAACTTATCCAGAACTTCTCTCCAACATATCAGCGTATCTCACGTGTTCCAGACGAGCGCTGAACGTGTTTCTAACTTCCAGCTACTGTATAATGGCGTATTGGCAGCGTTTTGGTATAAAGGGGGTTCACAGGAGGAAACCGTCAGTTCTCCTCCAGACTTCATCCCCATCATAGGGTGAGCCAGAAGGTGAGTGTGATGGATCCTCCCTGCGTTCACGCCCACCACCAACACACTTTCTAGAAGACATGATGCTGAATCTGCTGCCACCAAAAACCTTCTTTCTTTCTTCGTCTTTTTATTTATCAATTTTTTTGGCGGGCGGTAAACATCAGCTAGGTTAATACCGGGATCTAATAAATCTTTTTATGCAGACCGGGTGCCTCCGGACACAATGCTGCTCCCCTCACTGGCTTGTGAAATTTGATGGGCGTTACGCTGCCGTGCGTTATGCAGAAGTTAGGCTGTCATTGGACATAAGTTCTGGACTCGTTATGAATACTCTTTGTAAACACCCAGAATTGAAAAATTACATAGAAAGTTCAGCATATGCCAGAGTTTTAGGACATTCTGGGATGTCAGACAAACACTGGCTAAATCAGCAAGGTGTGGTAGGGTCCTAAAGGGTGCAGCACACTGGACCTTCAGGACTGGAATTATTTGTCATCTTCAAGCCACTTTTATCTTTTGGGGGATTTAATCTGATACAGCAACTCAAAGGGATGTAGAGTCAAGAATTGGAATTATCTGTGATATGATTTTCCTTCCACTTATCAAACAAAAAATAATCCATTACTTTGTGTTTGCCACCTGCATAAATGCCGAACATAACACAATTAAGTTTTTGATTTTAAATACTTACATTCAAAATTTCCCCACTTTCCATTAATGGGCCCTTAGCTGGTCCTTGTCTGGTCCAATACAATGCTTTTTAAACATAAATCTTTGTACTAAAATATTCTTTCTCTCATGAGTTGTGGTATTAAGATCTAAAGAGAAGCGTCATCTCCTGGTCAGACCCTGTCATTCAGTGAAAGGGAGGAGTCAGATTAAATAAAATATGCACGCCTGGGAGAAGGCCAGTGGCTGGAAGTTGAAGATTTAAATACATTTAAAATATTTTGAAATATATGATTGTGTATTTTTTCGGTGTGCAAGATAAATATTCAATCTTTAATGATTAGTAAAGCATCATTCCATTTTATATTGGATTGGTGACGCATGTCCACCGGAGGGCACAAAAATCTTTGCCCATAGACTCTTGTTAAAAGGTGTACATGCGCAGTAGCTCCTCGGCAAAAGTGTATTTGCTCACCACCTCCCGCCACAGCGCACCTTTTTTTTGGGTGATTGAAAGGTTGCGTGGCAGAGTTGGAGACGCATGAGAGAGAAATTGTGCAAGAAGGGTCTTTTTTCCAGCACCTGGTTTAGCTCCAAGGCTAGGCTAACTGCATGCAGCGAGGCTAAGGCTTTATTCTGCTTTCCCTGCCTCCTTTTTCAAACATCAGGATCTGAGCCAGCATGGATAAAGACAGCTAGGACTGATTTAAAACACTTTTTAGAAAAGACAAAGAAGAATGAACAATCTGGGATTCACATAGAAAATAATAGAATATAGTCTACTTTTTCTAGATGTTTTCTCATTTGTTTTAGGTTTTTAAATATTAAAATATATATAACTGACTAATAGCTTTTTTTTAGGTTTTTGACACAATATTGGACCATGAAAAACACAGATTTACCTTCACAAAGCCTCAGAAGGGCAAGATTTATGTACAAAAAGTAAACCTGTTCATGAAATTACGTTTTTGCTTTGATAAGGTGTTTTTATAATGTTTTTGTTGTTGTTGTTGTTGGCATGCATATAAATATACTGGTGCAATAACTTAGTACATGTTTGATTGTTTTTTCGTATACGTCTATTTTGAATTTATAGCCCCCCCCCCTTGGAGAAAACTCCACCAGCCGCCACTGTGCCAATCATGGATGTTCCCTTACCTGTAGTACTCTATATGTGCAGTCTGATTGGCCACAGTTGCCAGGTCCATTTTAGCCTGGTCCAGGTTGGGCAGCCCCAGCAGCTGTTTGATCACGTTGTCGGCCATCTGCTGCATGAACTGCAGCGTTTGCACGTAGTCTCCTCTCATGGCGAAGATCTCATCCAACCTTGCCAGGTGCTGGTGCAGACCGGTTCTCATGTTGCTCATCGTTCCCGTTACCTGATGGAGAGACGACACTCAATTTTCTGCACAAAACGGGATAAAGTGTTTCTTAAATATTTGGTAAAGTTTAATAAGATCTTGTGGTTTTAGTTCTTGCTTCAAATGAATTGATCTGCTGCACATTGTTTCCTTCCAGGGAGGATAAAAGTCTAAATATAGACTTTTTCTGTTGTGGCAATGCACTCATGCAGGCAATGAATAGCTGCCCTTGTGAGGTCATTCCCTAGTTACACTCCAAAGAGCCGTCGGGATAAAGTTAAGGGAGTTTGAGCTGGGCTTTTTTTTTCAAGATGCCTCAGTGAGTGCTTTTAATTTTAAAAATCATTCAAATTAATTTAAATATATATATATATATATATATATATATATATATATATATATATATATATATATATATATATATATATATATATCTTTACTAAGGTGCTCTTTGCATTATTACGCTTCTACAACAGCATCCCAGAGAATATCAAATAAATGGGTAATTTCCGAAAATTGAACATATTCATAAGCCTTAATAGAAATATCCAAGAAGAACCAAAGCACAATTATCTTAGAAACTTTTTTTTTTTGCCAGCTTTTATTGTCATTACACTGTCACAAGTACAGAGCAACAAAATCAACTCTCTGCATTTAACCCATCGCCTTAGGGAACAGTGGCAGTCGGGCTCAAACTCAGAACCTCTGGATTCCAAGCTCTATGCCCTCACCACTTGGCCACCACTCCCCCAGGATGCAATGTATATTTTCTGTCACTATAAGCTTGGCAGGTAATTGTGAATAGACAATGTCAAGCTACGATCATGAATGTTGCTCTGTGTGTGAGTGGACGAGGCGCACAATGTGGGAGAGACGTAACACCTAGCGTAGGTGTCGAGTTTAAATACATGGCTTTTTTGAGAGAGCTTGGAGGTAAATGGTTGGATTGAGCCAGTCATTGTTAACGAACGAGGTATTTTGTGTATAATCTGTAATCCTACAGCATGGATCCGTTCCATGAGGGCAGAATGTGATGTCCTGAAAACAATGCGGGCTACATTAATAATTGGCAATTCTTTTGGTGCAGCTCTTCTTTCTAAGAATCTGGCCAAATTTATTAGTCCTCCAAAACCCTGACCACCCAGGGTGCAGACCAGGAAGCAGAGTGGTGGTTCAACACACATCTCTGCAGCTTCTCTACTGTTACCCACTCTTTACTCCATCCAGACAGTGTCTTGCCCACGACAGAAATCTAACAAATTAGCAAAGATCCCCAAAGGAGTAAATGATGATAATCTAATAACAATAAAAATAACTTCAATTGGGAAAAAAGTTAAAACATTTAAATTTGGTCTATTTAACATCAAAAAGTCTGCTAGTTAATGAGTTGATTTGTGATAATCACAATGATTTATGTTGCCTTACAGAAACCTGGCTGCAGCAAGAGGATTATGTGAGCATAAATGAGGCAACTCCTTTAAGCTATTTAAAATTTCACATCCCCAGAAGTTCTGGGTGAGGAGGAGGAGTAGCAACAATCTTTCAGTCTGACTTACTGATTACTCCCAAAACAGTTAATACTTACAACTCTTTTGAACATTTAACCCTTAGTTTCCCTCATCCAAATTGCAGAGCAAGAAAACCTCTTCTTTTTGTAACTTTGTATCGTCCACCAGGTCCTTACTCTGAATTTTTAGATGAGTTTTCAGAGTTACTTTCTGATTTGGTATTAAATACTGACAGGGTCATCATAGTGGGAGATTTTAACATCCATGCTGACATTGAAGGCGATAGCTTAAGAGCAGCCTTTAATGCTATCTTAGACACTATTGGCTTTGTTCAAATGACAGTATTTCCTTACAACCCTGTCCTTTTTGACCCCTTTTTAATAACTTTCAGGATTACTTTATAAGAATTCTCCTCCCCCAAAAGTAGGTTCCACCTTAGCAGATCATTATCAGATAGTGTAGTTATTAATTTCTGTTTCACATTCTCTCTAATCTGTGTCGCTGAGCAGTGTTGCAGAGTGCAAAAGCTTAGTTTTTTTCCCCTTCACATGTTGATGATTTTGTTGATGGGGTTGCCAGATCTCTGCATACTGCCTTAGATAATGCAGCCCCTTTGAAAATGAAAAAAAAAAAAAACGTTAAAAATAGAAAGCTGGCTCCTTGCTTTAATGCAGAGCTGTGCACTTGAAGCAAAATGCTAGGAAACTGGAGAGAAAACCTAGCCTACCTAGTCTGGAAAAGTTGTTTACTGCTGTATAAGAGGACCCTTTGTAAAACAAGAGTGGCATTGATAGAAGAAAATAAGGATAATTCTAGGTATATTTTCAATGCAGTCGCCAAACTCACCCAGAGCCATAGCTCTGTTGAACCGTCCATTCCACCTGCTCTTAGCAGTTAGATTTTATGCGATTCTTTATAGATAAGCCTCTAATTGAACCCTATTTCTAAAATTTTGAATAGAAAAAAATTCCTGAATGGGAAGAGAAATGTCTTCAAACATGGAAAAAAAAGCCCAGTGGATTGTTATTTTTGTTACTTTTTTGGAAAGAATTTATTGGGAAGAATGACACTTTTATAATCTAAAAAAAAAACATCCCACATTTGGGTTAAGATGCTAAAGGCTTTGTTCTGAGGGATTTGTTCATAAGAAATAGTCATTCACTGAGACATTCTGCTTTCTGACAATTAAAAAGTGTGTGAAAAGCCTCCATTGAGCTGCGGATGGAAATGTATGTTGGGTTTATGTTTGTTAGGGACATGCTTTGCTGAAGCTGAGGCAAGGAGAGGTTGGTGGGAAGCAATTAGCTGGATTTCTAATCAAAAGGACCAAACTTGGTAAAAGTGTAGTTAAAAAAAACGCTAAAAGATTAGAACTCTGAAAGAAAAAGAAGTAATTTAAAGCACAATGACTAACACATTTCGACAAATACATTTTCAGAAATGCTTATTCATTTTGGTCTCTAATATTTCTCCTTTTTGATAAATGCAATTCCTAAAGAGACCAGTTAAACATTTGTTTCTCAAAGTATTGAAATCAATTGAATCAAAAATTTTATTTTGATAAAAAAAAGAGGTAAAAAATATGTCAACATCACTGAGCTCAGGTGCACTACTATCCAAGCTGCGATGTTTGTATAGAGATAATTATATTCTGTAGGTTTTGTTGTTTCCATTAGGAGTAAATGTGCAGAAATGTCATCCAATCAATCCTGCACCAAAGTAAAGCAGAGTTTAAGGACTCCCTGCTGGTATTTTAATTGGCTTTAAGGAACATTACGCTTTCCAGAGGTGGGTGGTAACCAGAGTTTCATAAGTATTTATGTTCATTACTCCAGTAGAGGTATACATGGATAAACTTCAGCTTTTTTACTTCAGTAAAAGTGTAAAAGTCCCATTTTTAAAAGTAATGCAGGAAAACATTTTAATGACCGAAGCTTTACTGCACTACTCTATTAAAGGAAAATTTTTCTACAATTCTGGATGATAACTTCCTTAGACTTCATTTTCTTAGTTTTATAACTAATGGTAACAGCGTCACATTTAACTTTGCGTCATTTTGAAAAACTATTTATTTTGGTATGTGGTGAGCAACAAGTTGGCGCAGCACAAAGAAACCACAAAGAAATAAGTTGTCTGGATTAAATTTATTATTTTGATTTTTTTTTTTAAATGCCAACAGGCCATAATGAAAATGAAACAAACCTAACGAGTCTATTTTCAAAATGTAAGGAATAAAAAGAAGAGATAGTTAAAAAAATATATAAAGAGAAGAAGTAAAAAGTTGTCTAAGAAAATTATTATTCCAGTAAAGTATAGATAGACAAATTTTTTCTTAAAGTCGTAGGGAAGCGGCTGTTCCAACCGTTGCATTTCCAAATTCTCCAGAGTGGTGCCCGATTTTACACGAGTGAATAAAGTGAATGTGATTGGTCGTTTATCAAGGGGGCGGGATTGTTCTGGCAGAAGGTTCGCAAGCAAGTTTGGTTGTGGCCGGTTTGTCGGAAGCATCTTGCTAACCAGTTAGCAACTTAGTGCTAGCAGGTTCCCAATGGGAAATTCCATTGGGACCAAGTAGCACTAAATTGGTGACTTAGAAACGACGCTGTCAAGGAACGCTATGGACAGCGGAAACATGCAAGAGGAGGAGAGTTTAGTGTCGGAGGTCGTGGATTAGTCTCCTCAGTCATCCATTTTTTATTTAGAGGAGGAAAGCGGGGATGAAGATGTTGTGGAAGAGGACGCCAGGGCGGCAGAAGCTTTGTTTGGTGTAGAAGGCTTCCAGCCGTACATGTTTGAGCCCTTGCCTCGCAACGCTGCCAGTTCTGTTAGCTCTACGCCTGCCGAAGACACAGACGTCCATCCCCGTGAACACTGGGACGCAACTCAATGGGAAAGGAAAGGATTCTGATTTCAACCGTTGCATATATTAGCTGCGACATATGAATCAAGATGCTATGACTGAAAACATTTGATTGATGGATGGCCATTGATATATGTATATTGACCCAATAAGACACAGAATTTTGATTAAACCTACTTGAATAGAAATTTCACTTCATGCAGCTCTCCTAATATATTTGAATCCCTTGCCCTGTTTTTTTTTTATTTTTATCCTTTTCTGAGCCCCCATGGAAACAGTCTGGCCCCCTCCTGGCCCCTGGAACTTTCGGTCTGGAACCGCCACTGTATATCGAATCACACATGCCAATAATCCCCGCTAGTCACTGGATGCCCTTCCTGCCGTTATCCTAATGTTTAGCTCCTCCCACTGTCTCTCCATCAAATTCTCTTTCTACCACAGAGAGCTAATAAGTGCATCTATACTCTAGACACAAAAATATTTCTGATGCAAAAGCAAACACAAAATAATGTAAATATGTTACACTGATTAAAATTCAATATGACATTGTTTAATATTCTAGGTTTCTTCACTCACTGCAGCCTTTTAGCCAGTGATTAGCATCTAGCATGCAGAGCATGAGGAAATAATGGACACTTTAAATGCATTTG